GCTGCTGGGGTAGGGTGAGCATGTGCTGTGCACAGCCAGGCCCGGCTGGCTGCCATCTGGGATCTGGCCTCTGGCTTGGCTTGGGCTAGGAAGGGTTTGCAAGGTCAGCTCTGTCCCACACCGTATGCTCTGCCTAGTAGTAGGTCACTGCTGGGGTCCTTTGTTCTGCTGCTGTTCTTCTGTCTCTAAAATGTGTGTGTTTGTTTTCGTTTAGCTGCTCCAAAGATCCCTCCAGACCTAAAGTCCCACAGCCCCAAATGCCCTTCTACTGTCACGGGCACCTATAGTAAGTCACTTGCCCTGTTCCCAACCCTAATTATGTGTCTTGAAGCAGGACCCTGATTTGGCTGCACATGGCCCTACTGCTTGTTTGAGAATAATTTAGCTGTAGATGCACTTGGGGTTTTGTGGCTTTGGATACTGGTTTTGAATCTGAAATGGAAGCTGAGAAGCCTTTCTGAATTCCTAAAGCAGGGTCTGAATAGTCAAAGCTGGGGGCACTCAGGCTTGTGCACCCTCCACTCCAAAATCCAACTTAGGAGCCCCTGGCTGCATCTCCTGGATCTCTAGTGGGGCGTGTCCCTGCTGATCCAGTGCTGGGAGGTGGTCCCTGAGCAGTCCTCAATCCTGCTCTAGGTCTGGCTCCTATTGTGGGCAAGTTGTGCACTGGCCAAGCTTCACTTGGAGCTGGCTCTCCTGGGGTAACTGGAGCTGAACAGCGTGCGGCTGCCCTGGCAGCTGCATTCCAGAACCATGTCTTTCCCCACATCCCCCTGATCCTCATGTGGAGAGAAAGGGCCCTTCCCTGCCCAGCCCAGAGTGCAGTTTTGTCTGCTCTGTACTCCTCTGATGCTGCTGGATCAAGCAGCCACCCAAGTCAAGCCTTGGGTTTTTCCCTTTCTCCTAGATTTGACGCACCTCAAAAGAGGAAAGAGGTTTCTCTTTAAGCTCCCGGAAGGTTTTCTCTAGCAGATGATCTTGTAGGGCCACCCTTTGCAGATACACTAAAACAGACAAACCCTCACCCTGACCCCTCGGTGTGTGTGTGCTCTGAACCCTGCTTTGGAAGCCTGTGCTCTGAAGCTGTGGCGCTGGGCGCTGGGGCAGTCGGAACGGTGCGATGCGCCCAGGGGCCCTGAGCCGAGCTGCTCCCTAAAGGGCTGGTCTCCGTGGTGGCTGTTGTGAGGTGTCTGCAGGCCCTGCACTGCCTACTGCACAATCCCATAGCCCGGCGGGCTCCAGACCCTCCAAAATCAGGTGCTTCTCCCCACAGAGATCTTCCTTGCAGCGTTTTGCAGCTGCAGCGTGGCCTTTAGCAGCGTGGTACCGAGCGAGACCATCTCTTTAAGACTAACAGCCTTCATCTTGCAGCTGCAGATGCTCCCTGGCTGGCTGAGCCCGAGCTTAACACCGACTTGTGTTCCATTAAAATCAGTTCTTCCACCATCCCAGCCTGGAGTCTGGCTTCCCTCTCTCAGCAGCTGCTGCCGAGCACTGGGAGTGGAGCAACTGCAGACTCCTGGCCTCGGCAAACCTCTGCCAGGGATGTGAGCTGCCAGTGCTGCTGCCAGGCAGGCTCAGCCACACCTGAGCACTAATCCTGCATGGCCATAATCTTACCTGGTGTCTCGGACTAACAGCGACTGGAGAAAAGGCTTCCAGTTAAATTGTGGGGAAGGGAATTCTCCCTGAGAGAAGCTGATCTCAGCGTATTTGCATGCCTGTGGCTGACAGTGTGTTACCAGACATGCCTGGTGCTGGTTTTCCCCTTGTGCCATGGGAAGCCCCTAACTGCTAGCAACTGGAAAGAGCAGGTAAATCCAAAGCTATTCACTCCCTTCCCATGGGGCAGCTAAACTTGATAGAATCCTTGCTGTGTTGCAGGGCAGGAACATGAATTATTTCCTGTAAGCCATCGAATCATCCTGCCCGATTCCACCGCTGCATGTGCGTTTGTGTGTGTGTGCAGATGTATATATATAAATACATCTATACATATATATACATACCAGCTCTCCCAGGCAGCTGCCTTTCCATGCAAGAGGCACATCACGCAGCTTGCTGGGTCTATGGAGAAGGAGTCTAGCACTGCTAGGTGGAAGTGAGCAGTGGGACATGGTTATGTGACAGGGATGCTCTGGAGAGGGGCTTCTGAAATCTGCTCCACTTCCTTCCCGAGCTCCCCACACATCTGTTGTGCACTGGGACAAGCCAGGAGTCTCTGCTGATCCCAGGCAGTCAGTCAAAGACCCCAGTCCCAAGGTCACCCGCAGCTTTTGGAAGTCGAGGGCTGTTACGTCCCAGCAGGCATCTCCTGGGCCTCCCACTTCTCTTGCAACTCGGCCTAGGGAAGGAGCATCCAGGGATTTGTGCGTTCCCGAGTGCTGGAGCATGCGTGTGCTGGAAGCCTGAAGGGCCTGCTGGGGAGGGCTGACCCGCCGCCCAGCTGCCCACCCTCTCCCTGCTGTGTCCCCGCAGTGCTGGCGTGCGGCCGCCCCCAGGCCACGGCGGTGTACAAGGTGTCGGAATACGCCCGGAGGTTCGGAGTGCCCGTCATCGCGGACGGCGGGATCCAGACGGTCGGACACATCGCCAAGGCCCTGGCGCTCGGGGCCTCCACAGGTGAGCAGCACCTTGGGCAGCCGGGCTCCTAGGAAAGGTTTCCCTAGCGCACGATTCCAGAGACGCGGGCGTGTGGCTGCTGGGAGGTCCGTGGTGCGCAGGGGCCCCGTGGCCACCACCTTCCTGCTGCTGATGTGCTGCTCTTGGTGATCTCTTGTGCCAGTGATGATGGGCTCGCTCCTGGCTGCCACCACCGAGGCCCCAGGTGAATACTTCTTCTCAGATGGAATCAGGCTGAAGAAGTACCGTGGCATGGGCTCACTAGATGCCATGGACAAGAACTTGGGCAGCCAGAACCGGTATTTCAGGTAAGAGATGGCGCTGTTGGGCAGCCCCTGAAGCTTTTGAGGCTTCTCTGCTTCACTGATTTCCTTGACACGTTTCCTTGACTTGTGTTCCCGTGCAGTGAGACAGACAAAATCAAAGTGGCCCAAGGGGTCTCTGGTGCAGTGCAGGACAAGGGCTCCATCCACATGTTTGTTCCATACCTGATTGCTGGGATCCAGCATTCC